GATCACTTTAATGGTAAAAGCAATGCTTCCTATCTGTTCCCAAATCCACCTCATATGCACTCAAGTATGAGAAGATAACCTTTTTGCCTGCTTCCACACTACCAACTTCTTTACCAACAGAAATAGCCTCTCTCATAAGATATCACTCAAATTTATTTTGAGGTAACTCCTCTAAGGTGAAACTGATCAACAAATAAATGAAGCCATAGTTAAGAGAGGGAAACTCATAACACTCGAATCTAATCCCATTACACATTGCTCCCTAGATAAAAGAACGCCGATCTAGAGAGAGAAACCCTTGACACCCATGAAAATTCTTAGTTTTAGAGAGAGAGCAAGTGGGAGACAAAAAGCCATAAAGTTTATTGCGTGTTAGAGAGAGAAAGTGAGAGAGAGCCCTTCTTGAATATGCAACTCAACCTTCGGCGCATGATTAAATAAACCCAACCCAAAACAAATAAATCCCACAAAATCCTTGCTAGATAAATAGAAATCATGAGAGAGAAAGAGGGGGGACAAAGAGAAATATAGAGAAATAAAGAAACATTCAAAGGCCGTGGTGGACACTTCGCCTTCCTACCCAAGGAAGTCCCCTGTAGTCTAGGCCATAAAAACTGCCTAGAAAAACTGCTCAAAGCTCCGATCAAATGCCGAAAAAGGATTTTTAGGCCCCATAGTCTCGATGATTATGGCAAAAGCTCGTCGTAAAATCAACACCAACAATAGCAATAACCGTTTGGAGCCAACCTCACCAAAAGTCTCATGGGCCAAATCAAGTACAAGAAAAAGCAATCCGAGAAGAAGCAAACAGAGAATAATCAACTAGAGAAGAAGGAGCTGAAGAAGAAGGGGATAGAGTTGGCCAAGATTTTCCACGAAAGTCGAAAGATCGAGGCGGTGCTGTCTGTTTCAAAGCCATCTCTGCCTCATCTTGTTAGATGATGAGATTTTCAAGCAGGAAAGAACCAAACAAGTTTGGTGAAAGAAGAATTTTTGGTGAAGGAGTTATGAAATGCTTGTTCAGCGAAGAATAAACCAACAATTGCAGAAGAAGAGGGCTGAACTAGCAATTGAACTGAGCTTGGCTCAAGGTTCCACCTCTCCATAATAATAATAATAATAAAAGACGAGGACGCAGACGCAATAGTTGTTGCTGAGAAGCAATTGTTAGTCATTGGAAAACGTGAAAATGTAGAGTGAGAGAGAGTAGCTACGGCTTCAATAGCTACAACAAGACAAAAGCAAAACAAGATAAAAAAAACAAAAACAATAAGACATAGAGAGAGATGGCCGATGTAAGAAGATGGGGAAAAAAAAAGACGCAAAAAAAAAAACAGATTTGTGTAAGATTGCAGGTTCCAGATCAATCAAGATAGAACTTTGCTCTGATACCATGTGAGAAACTATATTTTTTGTATATTTGGGCTTTAAGCCCCATAGAAGATATTTAGGCTTTAAGCCCTACGAAAGATGTATTATTGAGCTTATCGAAGATATAAATAAGAGCCCCAAGTTACACGGTTACAAAGTTGTGTACTATTAAAGAAACTAAAATATGCAATAAACCACTTTCCTAATATGAATACACATAAAGGAAAAAAATATTGTACCAAAAAATAAATGCCGGTTTCTATAATTTCCACACCTCACACACTGTCTCCCTCCTTTTATATCTTCCTGTTTCTCACGGCCCCTCTCGTTCTCACCCACTTCCTTTATTATCTTTCTCCCCTTCTCTCCCTATACCCCTCTATCTATCTCTTCCCCCTATCCATCCCCATCTTACACCCTCATTATCTCCCTCTTTCTCTCTACTCCATTCATCCCATGCCCTCTCTCGGTCTCTCATCCTATCCTCTTCCCTCTCTCTCTCTTACCCCGTCTCTATATATATCTACTTCCCTCTCTCACGCCCTTGTTCTCTCACTCTCTCTCATTTATTCCACATAGTCCTCCTATTTCTTTTAGATATGTTAATTTATTAATTTAACTAGATTAATAAAATGAAACTTATTTAGGATAGGCATAATAGTTTATAATATACAAAATCTATCCAAATCCAACCAAATATTCTTATAAGATGTAGACATTATCTAAAATAGAACCCGAAGTGCTTTTCAAAATTTTTGGATGCTCTTTTTTTTTTTTAATCTACATATTACACTCCATTTCTTTTAAGATAAATTTTAATTAGCAAAATTGATTTATCTAATTAGAAAAATACATAACTTTAAGCTTTATCTATTCCTAGGACAATTTCCCTATTTTATTTATATGTATAGGGACCTCTCTCATTACAATATGTGTCAACCCTTTAACTCTAGCTTAATAATGTAGTATATATGAGAAAATATAAAGAAGTTGCAATCACCCTTAGCTACTATATCAGAAATTTTACTCGGGAATTAATTTTTGGAATTGCATACCATGAGAGCATTTATCTATGTGTCAAGGAGGTTACACTTGCTACTCGCCATTAGATGTCAAATTGGATGGCTTGGGTGTGACACAAAATTCGATTTTTTTGTTCTTTGAACTTCAAGTATTGTCAATGACCCATTTATCTTTGTTATAATGATGTCAAAATTGCTACTAGCTATTAGATATCAAATTGGATGGCTCAGAGTGTGACACAAAAATTGTTTTGTTTTTTCCCCTTCTTTTTGAACTTTGAGTGTAGTCAATAGCTCCCTCATAGCTATTATTTTTAACTTTGAGTATAGTTAATGGCTCACTCACAGCCAATAAATTTAAATTTTGATAGACACTGGTGATTGTGATCTCTTTGTATTAAATTTTCGATCCTTTAAGCCCAGGCAATAATATGCATTTGACAATTGGATTTCGCATTAAACTACCAAATGCTCTTTGTAGTGGACAATACACTTTTCCATCGTACAAAGGGTTGATTATAATTTTTTTGGGCCTTAAACGACACCACCTTGACTCTAAAGCAAAAATGGACATGCACATCCACAATACCATTTTCCATTAAAAAAAAAATATTTACTTATGATCATTCACACATGGGAAGGGTCGGATACTTGCTTTTCCCTTCTTTGTTGCCCAATCTCAAACTTATGTGTATTTTTGTCTATTATATTTTATGAAATAATAGGTGCGGTTTGCATAAGGTTGCAACTTTAAACAATCAAATTAAGATGTACCTATAAATTTTATCATAAGATGTAATTTTGGTGTTGAAAATTCTTAGGATGGTTTGAGAAGCCACTTTTATAACTAATTATAAAATAAGATTGTCAACAGAGAGACCATTTTTCTTTTATACATGGATTTCATTCTTCTCCCTTACTCCACAAAAGCTAGTATATACATATCATAGATATTTATCTACAAGGTCCCAAACGACCCATAAATTTCAAAATAAGTGGTTGTAATAATATTATTAAATAAATACAAAGTTAAAAAAAAAATATTTTTTTAAGATTTCATGACTCATCCCAAGCCATCTAATTTGACATCTAATTAGTGTGAATAATTGTGACCTTCATGTACAAAAGATAAAGGAAAAATTACGTAAATATCTATTTTAGTTTTCGTTATTACAAAAATACTTAATACTTTCCGTTATTATTCATATGTTTGTACTTCACAACATTTTTCTTTTTTAAAAAAGACGGTTTTACACATGTTCGATTTTCAAACACCAATTTTTTTTTTAAAATTTTGATTTTTTAAAAACCAAAAACTTTAAAATTTCGGTTTTTCCAAATCCGAAAAGTTTAAAATTTCAAAATTTCAAAAACTAAAAAGTTGAAAATTTGTATTTTTCAAGAACCAATGAAAATTTTTATTTTGCAAAAACCAAATTTCTTTATCTTTCGATTTTTTAAAAATCGAAAATAGCTCCAACAGTTTAAAACATTATGCTCTCTACTTCTGTGTCTCTCAAAAAACCTCTCTCACATAAAAGTCTCCAAGTTGTATGCACATGTAAATCTAGAGAAGCGTTCATTGGACCAGGAATGGTCTTGAAGCATATGGCACACATATATGCACCAACTTAAAGGCTTGCAAAAATATTGAAATGCTTAGTTACTGACTTATGTATGAGTTGAGTTTCAATTTTGATATTCCTTTGATAGAGAGGATTCCGAGAAAGTATACAAAAATAAAAAATCTCACTCATATGAAGGAATATGGAGTATCTCTGGAAGGATCCAGTTGTATCATTTTCATATCTAAAGTTTGCCAGGTTTTGTCGCATCTTATTTCTAATGCTTTATAATGTTTTGTGTGGGTCATATATGCATTCTAGAACTTATGTTTTAACCTTTTCCAATGTGTTGAGAGGTTTTATGAGTTCGAGACTTAGATACACAAAGAGTGTGAGATTCATAGAGCGGAGTGTTCTAAATTGTCGGGAAAAAACGGATATATGAGTAATAACGAAAAATATTTAATATTTTGGTAATAACGGAAACTAAAAGAAATATTTACGTAATTTTTTTTAAAATAAATGGTTTAAGACAAATTCTTTATAAAATTATAAACTTTAAAAATTGGTTAAAACCAAGTAGATATATAAACATATAATTTTTAAAAAAATAGACTATCTCAGGTGATTTATTACGAGATATACTATTTTTAAAACTAAAAAAATAAATTTTATTTTCATATTCATATGATGCCATCAATTAAATATTGTCAGCATCAAAACAACTATTTTGGATGATTTTTAGGTACGCATTGATTCTACTCGACATATGCACGTGGGAATACACTACACACGTGTCTTCGGCTGGAGCAAGTGACAGCTACCGATGACCTGCCCTGTTACGTTAGCTTCAATTTATAATCGGAAAAGTTTCGGTGGAACAATGCATTAAATGTAATGTATAATACATGTAATGTTTTATTTAGATTACTAAATGCATAGTCAACCATCTGTTCTAATTAACGGACGGTCGATATAAACCCTTCATCCAGTGGACGAGAAGAGCAAGTTAAGAATACGTATCATCCTATAAATTTGTTAAAACACTGTTAATGATAATTGGACTTGTCCGAAACTTGGACGTTTCCAATCTGTTACCGTGACGGACAAGGCACAAACCCTAAAACTTCGACGACCTCCGATTTCTTTTCTGCAACTTTTAATCCGCGTCGCAGGAGTTTTCAGATTTGGAAGAAACCCTAGGACTTTGGGGCTGAAGGGTCCTGGCAAAATAAACCCTAGAAACAGGAGCCCTGGAAAGCTCTGAGCTTAGGGGACTGTTGAGAGAAACCCTAGAAGCAGTGAAGAAAGAGGAGAACCGCTAGACTACAAAACCTGGAAAATGAGCGAGGATAGCAGGAGCAAGGATCATCCACCCCATTATGGCACTTTTCAAGGGGTTCCCACCTATGGACAGCCGGCCATAGGGTTTCCTCAGCCTGTTCCTCCTCCTGGTGCTACCTCTGGAGCTTACTACCCTCATGGTTATCAGACTGTTCCAGGTAATATTGATATGTATTCAAGTTGAGTTATTTACAATCGATTATTGTGACTAGTTTGTGATTGTTTTATAATTTTATATGTCGTTTTTTTGTTTGTTTGGAGAATTGATAGTCAAAGACGTCATGATTTTACATAAGGGTTTCATGGTTTCTGGTTGTTTTCATGGAAACCATTTTATTTATTTTTGAATCTGGTTAACTTTGTTGACTATTGAACGATAGATTACATCAGATCAGCTCGAGGTAAGAAGGGCATCCCACAAACTGGGTGCTCAGACTACAGGTGGGAGAAGAATTAAGTAAAACTTCTTCTAGAAAGGACATAATATGAAAGTGGAATTCCATTTTATTCTTGCGAATTTTTTTTGATTGACAGTAGTTATGAATTGAAGTCATTCAATTGCACTTTCTTCAGCATTGCTTATAAACAAAGGGTGCTCCTTCTGCATCTTAAAAAATCACTTATTGAAAAGAGACATTAAAATACAACAATTTTGGACTTTTTTAATTGAAATGTTTTTTGTTTTGGTAATTTTGGTATGCAAGTGTAAAATGTAAGATATCTGTTTAGGTATTTATGACAAGAATTGTTCTTAATGTTGACTAACAAACTGCAATGCTGAAATGTTGATTACCATTTGCTTACATTGTAATAAAAACTGGTTGGAAATGTTCTCTTGTGGAAATAAAATATATGACCATTTTGAGCCGCTTTGACGATCATGATAATGGCAGCAAACGATGGGGGGAGAAACGTATTAGATGGCCTATTCTAGCCTTGAAAGGAATTGTAGCAGCAGCGTCAGGGAATTATACTTTTTCTTTATTATTATTATTATCATTATATTGCAAAAAATGGGATCCATCTTATACATCTTATAACCCTCGTATGACTATCTTCCATACTTTTGTTTGGTCCTGTGAAAAGGGTATTTATTACTATCAAGAAATGATGGTAAGAAGAGGGGGAGGGGGAGATGGGGGAAGTACGTTTAGTGACAAGAAGCTTTACGTTAGGCGGAGAAAAGAGGCCACTTTCAAACTTTTAGAAGGCAAAATACCTAATCTCTTTTTTAGGAATTGCTTGTGTTTTGAAATTAGGATTACCGATGTTTTTGTTATGAAACTAGGATCACCATATGTGGAATGTGTCTATGTTTGCATGTGTGCATGGGTCTCTATATGTGTGACTCCGAAAGGATAAATTTCCCCTGAATAACTTATTCGTTGCTGCAAAAGAATATGTAGAATTTTATATATTTATGATATTGTGTTTCATATTGTAAGAGGCTTTTGGTGTTCTTGAGTTCTGCAAAAGATTTTTTCTTATGCGATAACAAGGAGTTTAGTTTTCAGTCATGCATGTGCGCATGCAGTGCTTTTGTGTGTGTGTGCGCATGCATGCTATTTTGTTTATTTAGTAGATTAAAAAAGTACGAATTTCCCTTCTATGATTCATTGGTTATGGGGCAAAGAACACATATAGCTAATTATTTTTGTAAATACAAGCTGTATTTCTTATTTTTCTGAGTTCAACTACAAATTCTCACTTATGATAACAAGGCTTCACTGTTTAATTTTTCTTAGTGATTGTTTATCTCTTTGGTTTCCAATTTTCTCCATTAAGAGACTTCGCTTTGTACAACACTGAGATGCATTTAATTTTTTAAATTCAAAATTTTCAATGTAATGGTAGTGGTCATGAAAATGCATATTTATGGTGATCCCAATTGTACACAAGTTTGGCTTTATTCTTTACCAAATCTACATAAACCACATTTCACAAGTTCCTAAGTTAGATGTTCCTCGCTAATGGCACCTGCATTGCACGATGCTCCAGCTGAGATTCAGAATAAAAATAATCTCAGGAATATTTAATCTGAAGAGAACATTAATATATGTTTTTCATTTTTATTTAACCTCTCAAGTCATTTGTATTTATGGAATTATTTGATTTCTCGTATTTAACTTTTATTTACTTTTGAGCTTAATTTTAGTTCCTAAATTCCAATCATTTTCTAATTTCGCTCAAACATAGATTCCTATTTTGTTTTTAAATGTTATCTAGTTATTCTGATTGGAATTCCCATATTGGAATTTTTTATTTTTTTTTATCTTTTAGCTCGTAGTAAATTCTTTTCTCAAAATAATTTTGAGTGTTTTTTTTTTTTAATTTTTATTTTCTGTTTCTTTCATTCTTATATCTCTCTGATTTGTTTTTATTTAAAAATAAGTTGATATAACTGAATATGACAAAATTTTTATGGGGAGATACACGACTTATTTCCCCTTCGCTAATTGTAATCAGATTTAGATGACAAAGGAGAGAGATTTTTAAATAGAGGAACCCATCTTAAAGAACTTATTTGAAGGATTTTGGGAGAGAGAGAGAGAGATTATTGGCAAATAGGTGGATGGAACTTGTAATTTGAAATTCAAGACTCCTATTTATTCTCCCTTATATACATACATAGGTTGCTTTTCATCGAACGTATCAAAGTAGCCATGACCATTTCATATCAAATTGAAAATCTATAGCAATTGCACATTAGCTTATCTTTTATTGTATGAGATTGTCTCTTTTCTCTTACTTAGCTTGGCATTCTCATTTGACTTTTTCCGACAAATTGCTTATTTCCCAAATTCAAACTTGAGCGAGTGTAGTTTATTTTTGATTATTTCCTTTTCAAGGGTATGCCACAGTTGCAGAGGGACAGCCAATTAGAGAGCCTCGTCTACCTTGCTGCGGTATTGGTCTCGGTTGGTTCTTGTAAGTAACTTCTCACTCTCTTTTTCTATCTCATTCTCGTATCTTTTGTATAGATTTATTGCATGACTTTTGATTATAAATGGCCTGGAAGATTCTCGATGAATTATGTAAATAACCATGTCAAAACTGTACTAGGACATATATCCCCAAACTGCATAAGGTGTGTGAGTTACTGAATTGAAGTTGAACAGGGGTCTATTTTCTATACTCCATTTTTTAAACTTGTGCTTTGTCTTTTCTCGTTTTTGATTAGTACCGTCTCATCTTGTCCCTTTACTTTTTGTGCTTTTCTCTCTGTTTCTTTTTTTTTCTTGTCAAATTTTAAACTCAAAATGGCAATTGTCATCTTGTTTGAATTTTCTAATGACTGATGAAAGTGTGTTGTTGTGCTGAAGGTTCATAGCTGGCTTCTTTCTTGCAACAATTCCCTGGTACATTGGAGCTTTTCTTCTACTTTGTGTTAGATTAGATTACAGAGAAAAGGCGGGCCTAATTACGTGCACAATTGCTGTAAGTGCTGAATATCATTTCATTATTTATCAACTTGATTTGATCCAACAAAGTCCAATAAAACTTTTGGAAATCTTGCTTTGTCTCAGGATTCATAGTAAGATACTATTCATGAACTAGATGCTATTTAACCTGGTGAAACCTCCCATATTCAGCATTTAAACTAAATTACACATTGATCTTTTGCCCACAAAAGCTGCTTGAGCATGTGCACCAGTAGTATCACTCTATGATCTAGTCCCAGGGACACAAACCAAATATGATTGTGTAGTTTTTTGGTAAAAAGGACTAAAATTTATGAAGATACTGCTCTATGAAATGGGTTTCCATATGGTGGTGGTACTTACGTTTCCTCCTATTCATTAGCACCTCTGCAGCCCTTTCTCAAAGTTGGCCAAAACTTTTGGACGCACTTAGGGGAAGAGTGACATACTCTAGTTGCTGTTATTGACATCAGACAACTGGGAGGTGCCAGCCAAGTTTAGAAGTCCGCCAGGCTGCTAGCATAGATTTTGGCAATGAACGCGAACCAATGGGATATGTGGATATACAGAGCAGCATGATGCCTAAGTTGCCAAGGAGATGTAGGAGAAAAGCTTCCATGTTGTCGGTATTTAGGTTAAATTACTATATATATGATAAAGTTTTTCATGTGATTAGGGTTTGACCAAGTAGGAAAGTCCTTCTTTCTCTTTATAAAATGAGGGGCTTTTGCCTCTTTTAACTCCAACCTCCAAACATTATCCCCCCTCCACGATGGGCGGGGGGGGGTGACGCGGCTCGATGTGGGTGTATCACCTTGATGTGGTCAATAAATATAAAAAAATTTCAAAAATTTCAAAAAATTTCAAAAAATAGGTTAATGCATGGAAAAAATATGGAGGTGATTTATGTGATTGTAGGTATTTAATTTATTCATTAACCAGAGATTTTGTATTTGCTATCCCCTAATGATCATAGAAGACATTAGAAAGTAGAAAATTCGCAATTGCAAACTTTAAAGTTACAAATTAAAGGTCTATGAAGATTGAAGAGTTCAAAAGTCAAGACAAATCATTGTCTTCTATGAAGATTGGAGAGTTCAAAAGTCAAGACAAATCATCATCATTTCTCAAGTCTCAAGTCTAAATCTCAAATCTTTATAAGACAAGTTATCTAGATTGTCTCCATGTGCATCACCATCATCATATCATCCTCAGCACCTCCACATATTATTCTTCTTCCTCGGTTTTCTCAAAGTCCTATTACTCCTTCTCGACCTTTGGACTAACACGCAATTGAACCGAGCTTTTACTCTTTTGTGTTCTAGTGTCTGTACCTTTCCCCCGCCCTTTTTTTTGTTTGGGGTTGGGGGGGGGTGGGGATTTACGTAGATATCATTTTTTGAGGGTTTTTTTCCCCTGTCATGCTGACGCGGCACACATGGGGTGCGATGTGCTATGAGGCCGCATATGCAGAGGGATGAGGCACATATGTGGGGGTGCATCCCACCAAAGCGCATATGGTCTATTTTGTGATGCGCATACCGCATTATGCGGTGGTGCAGCCGCATTTTAAAACAATGGTGTTACCTCGCCACCTCATTTTTCTTTTTGTATTCTTTGTTGACACTTAAGACCCATGTCGACATCATGCCTAGATATGGCATCGACATGTGGACTACACATGTCTAAAAAATATTTGTTTAAGCACGCAGTGTCACCGTTTAGACAAGATATGTCCAGTTTTAGCCATTGAATTTCTTAATTTCGTATAATATAGAAGGGCAATTATTATTGGTGGGCTTTGAACTCACTACCTCTAAACATCATGTTAAAAGACCTAAGCACCTGGCCATCAACTTATGTCATGTATTCCTTTTCAAAATCATTAAACTCGTTTACTCAACTTGAGTACATTCAATGCATAAATGCTTATGTCATCACACGAGACTAAAAAACAAGTACCTTGCATATAAAAGTAGAGCATGTTGTGCATTTATTACCAAAAATTTAAATGGTATACATGGGAGCAGTGGTACAAAGACACCAATACAAGTGTTGCATCTAATACATATCTTGAGTGTCTAGTACTTTGGCCCAAAACCTAGTGCGGCCTTGACACATTTGTACAACCATCTATATATATAAGGTTATTTAACACATAAATCATAAGTTTTAAAACATTATAATTAATAAATGAAGTTTTAAAATATAATAATTAATAAATGAAGTTTTAAAATAAAAATACTAAACTTAAAACTATAAATTTATTTTTGCAAAAGAATAAAATATATATTTTTCTATTATTCTATTTTTGAAGTGATACTGTTAGACCTTATTAATAATAATATTTTTCTTAATGCATGTCAAACAAATTCATATAAAATTTATGCATAAACATATGCATATTTTAAACGTGCCAATGTAATTTTTTTTTTGAGTCCCTTGCATACCATGTAAATTTTTATTAATAAATGTACCAATATAGTTTTACTTTTATATAGCCCAATATTATACTATCTTTGTCATGACCTTAGAGATACTAAGAGATAGCTTGACTTAGATGTACAATCATCATCATCCTCAAAGCTTTTTCCCAACTAATTGGGGTTGGCTATATGAATCCTGGTTTGCCATTCTGCTCTATGAAGGGCCATACCCTTAGTCAAGCTATTAGTCATTACAATTTTTTGCCACTACTTTCATTCATGTCGTTTTGGGCCAACCCATACTTCTTTTGAGCTTTCCACTTGAACTAACTCGTACCTCTTAACACATGTTGTATTTGGTATGTGCCACACATGGCTAGCCACCTAAGTCTACTCTCTCTCATTTTCTCGCCCATTAGTGCCACAGCTAAATTTTCACAAATATATTTATTTCGAATTCTATCCCTTCTTGTCTTGCCACTTGTCCATCTTGACATCCTAATCAATGCTACACTCATTCTATGGGTATATTGTTTTTTGACCGCCCAACATTCCGCCCCATAGAGCAAAGCTGGTCTCACAGTTGTCCTATAGAACTTGCCCTTCAGCTTCATTGCTATGCGGTGATCATATAAAATTCCGGCTGCACATCCCCACTTCACCACTTTAATTCTATCTGCGATATCCATTTTCTTGGATTATCGACCCAAGATATCGAAAGTGCGCTCTTTTTGATATTCCTGACTGTCAATCTTAACTACTTTCTCGTCTCTACTCCTATTATTAGTAAACTTGCATTCCGTATACTTTGTTTTAGCCCAGCTAATTTTAGAACCCGTTAGATTCTAAAGCATCCTTCTAAAGTTTTAAGTTTGTGTGGACGCCATTTCAGGTCTCATCAATCAAAACTATGTCATCTGTGAACAACATATACGATGGTACTTCGTCTTGTAGGTGCCTAGTTATGTTGTTTATAACTAAGACAGAGTTATGAGCTCAATGCTGACCCCTGATGTAGATCTATTGTCACTGAAAACTCACGCTTCTCTCCAGAAGTTGTTCGTACACTAGTTAACACTGCATTGTACATATATCAAGAATCTAGATTGTTAAAAGATTAGTTGGTGTGGCCAACTCCAATTTTCTCCTAGAATATTCATAGTTGTTATGCTCCCTTTATTTTGGGGGTAATTTATGGTACTTATACTTCAATATGATGTTTGACTGCGGAATATATTTAGACAACTCATTTTATTCAGATATGCTGCATGTACATTTATCGTTTTGGCCTTCCAACATTTCTCCATAAGGTCATTTCAAAAGCATAATTTTTGTCCAAGACAAAAGCTCAATGGCATGAATATGCAACAAGAGTTCCCTTCCAAGTGACTATTTTATTGTAAATTTTTCGATTGTCAATTGCTTCAGTCCTTGTCTCACATAACTGCTTCTTATCTCTTATTGCTCGTATCAGAGAAGGAAAGCCTTTACATGTACTACCACCCACATGTAGAACATGTGTATCGTATTCCGTGCCATCTGATTTGAGTGGATGGCTGGGATAGCTCCAGTCACGATATCGTGCCTGTTTTATTCTTAAGTTTTTTCACAAATCAGTTTACATGAATTTGGAGTGTGCTCTCACCTTGTTGGAGCGCATTTAGCGAAAAAAGGAAAAAATATTTATGATTAAAAAAGACCAAATACCCATACAAGTACTAGGCATATTTTGATCATTTTGTTTCATTAAAAATATTTTTTTCTTTTTTTTTATTGAGTGCATCACAATCTTAAATGATATGTAAAAAATAAAATAAAATACTCGGAGTCGTATCATCAAGATCAAAACCCAGAAACTTTGTGGCCAGTTAGCTCAACTATCTAATTTAAATCGAACGGCTGAGTGTAAGGGTCACATATGTTTTATATGTGTGATGCCACGTGCAGAAGCTTCCCTTCAGAGAAAAAAAACATGATAAGTGAATTGGATCATAATCTTCATGTATTTCTTCCTACAATTCTAGAGTTATTGTTGGAGAAACACTGCTACAACCCTCCAGTAGAAAAAAGTGAAAAAAATAAAAACTCGATGTCTCTGCCTTGAACAATGTTAAGCAATGTTTAAGAATTAAATATGATCTGGGAATCCGAGCTCATGCTGAACCCCAGTCTCCACTACATATGAAATATGAAAGTGAAATTCAAACTAACAATTACTTTGGCTTCATTTTTCTACTGTAGGTATTATAGTCAGCGTTAATTCATTATTTTTAATGTCTCTAATTCAAAACTGATCATGAAACTTTGGTTTCATTCAGCTCTTTTATGCAGAAACTAGAATTAAAAAAAAAAAAAACAATCTTTTGATGGATGGGAAAGAAGGAAGTTATAACAAATCTGAATTCTTTTTTTTTATTCAATCCATAACATCTATGTTAGTCTACATGTGTCCAAAGATACTCAGCTTTCTAGATGATCCCTTTAGAAGATAGAGGGATTTGACAAGCATGCAAACCCTGTATTTGCTTTTCATCTTCAAGGATTGGGTATGAATTAGGAACTTTATTGTTAGTGTATGAATTAGGAGCTCTTTATTGTTAGTAACATAACTAATGGCTTTATGACATGTCCAAAACAAGATTAACCCATGTGAACGTTGCGGCAAACCGTGCCCCTATTTATAGTATGGAAATAAAATAGTGGAAAACTGAAATCCTCTCCTTAGGTTATTTGCCTTTGCCCAAGTTATACCTTTATGTTGAGTTTTTGAGATATTTTCTTAATGGTGCTCTGTTCTTTTTTGGCTTTTTGCAAATTTGCGTTAATGTGATGCTTACCCCACTATCTTGTACGACTATTGCTGTGGTTCCCTATGCATTTCCACTCAAATGTTCTTCTTCCCTCATTTCCACCAAAATGTTCCAGATTGTTAATGTTAATTTTACATATTGGGTCACAACACATGGTTCCCCATGGGATTGACCTTGGACTTTCTTGATTTATAGATCTTTTTCTTGTAGTTGAAAACCCAAATTTCTTTTGGGAAAATGCTCGTAACCTCTGATATTCCTTTCTTTTATCTATATCTCATTGACTTCTGTGTGATTCGAAAGAGCAGATCTGATGATTCTATCATTAATTATTTATAGTGAAGTAGAAGCTGTTCTCTATTATACTATCATCCTTCTTTGTAGTGGAGTAGGCATTATTTTGAATCAAACTTTAGTTTGTAGAACATGATTTTTGGTTTTTTTACTACTATCAGAATGTTCATTAAAACAGTCTCTGTTATTGGCCATGCACAGGCTGCTCTGTCTGCCATTGCTGTGATTCTTGGCTTCACAAAGGGAACTCATGAATGGTGATGTAGATCAACTGTGACATAAACTAAGGGTTGATTTGCCATATCTTTTCCTTTCCCATGAAATATTAGAAAGCCCAACTACTTCATGTAATTATCATCATGCCATATAATTATACTCCCGTCATATCTTAATACTCTTCTATCATATGTGTTGTTATGATGGTTACCGGCTCAGAAGATCTTGCTCTAAGATCTATGGGGGAGCATCCTTCTTTGTGCTTGAGACAATATTATGTGTTTTCTGTGTGCCTTTGTTTTGTATAGCTTGATTTTCAGTACATAAACCTATAATAAGGATATGGCCCTGCTGAATGTCTGGCCATACTCGAAACACTTCATACGCGTTCTTCAATGTTATGGGAAATATAAGTTTATTTGCATTTGTTTCCTTAGAGCTCCAATGTTGCCTGCCTTCGGATTGCCATAGAGTTGGTCCTCATTTGATGCTGTTTGGCAAAAATTGAAATATGACTTTGAAACCCACAACGTTAGGTAATGCAGGAGAAACATGCCTTGCCAAGGACCATAGAAACTGCTCGATAGATAATTCACTGATTTTTATTACTAAGAACTTTCTTCACAAGTTCTGGTCCTTGCATAACCCAGTTCTTTTTAGAGGGCCATCTATGATGTATTAGATATTCTTACCTTAACCAGGATTCGTGGGGCAGATTTTGCATGTGTCGGATCACCAATCTAGATTGTTCTACATGAGTCCTAATTGGTGATATAAGAAAAAAAAAAATGAAATAGGGATTCATGGTGGGGACCTATATATATATATATATATATATATATATATATATAGT